TGGAAGGTCATCCGGACCGGGAGCTCGGTGGCGCTTGAGGGAACATATGCAGTCGTAAACCTCCGAGGCTGTAGGTGGTTCCACGTTCACCGTCCAGGGTTCTAATTCACCTGTGGGCTCTAGATGGGTGCCGGCTGGTGGCCACGACAGTTGTTGTTCGAAGTACTCATCCCACCGGTCGAGATGGTCGTTCCATTCTGATGTTTGATGGTTTCACTCGCAGGTGGTTTCCGGGGACCGGTTGCACGGATCAACTGAAATAATCTTCGGGAATTACCGGCTTTCTGGGCCTCTCCCATTTCTTCGACTTTCTATGTCCACCATACTTCACGGTCGGCTCGCACGCTCACTTTCACTTGACGTCTGCTAATTCGTCGTGCCGGGTTATGTTCGGGACAGGCTGGGATATTCCTCGGAGATTTAAGCAGTGCCACCGTTCGGGTTGATATCCAGTGCTTGAGTGAGCCTGTTGGTGCCGTGCCACAGTGGAAATCCAAGCACTAAGTATGAATTCACTTGTAATAGTGGAGTATTTGGAAGAAACTTCAGAAGACGATTCTGGTGAGTTCATCTAACATCCGGATGTACCACTCTCTCAGTTGCTGAACGATTTGTCCGCATCTTAGGCGGTTCTAGAAAACGAAGGGAGAAGTGACTCCGTACGAGCACGTGGTCGGAATCTACACATGTGTTCCAAAACGATCGGCAGCCAGTCATTGATTCGCACCATCGATAACTGATGGCGATGTGCTTGATTTGAGTTCGTGACCGGCACGCATCGGATACCCTGTGGCCAGACGACTTCGACTATGTCGCAAGTTAGTACTGCATAAAAAACAGTCTGTTATCAACACACAGCTAAACCAATCGTTCCCCATTGTTCGTACGTACAGAGTCAACCTCATAATTTACTCAGAGATGTGCAAAGCCTGACCACTTGTGCATTTAGATTTCCCACGACCACAACTATATCTGAGGTTTCAGGTCTCTGCAACAAGGCACTCATAGCGTCGTAAAACCTGTCTTTGATGATGTCAGAGCATCAAGCTACTGATGATCAACACGAAGCTGAATCATGGGGTGTTTGACAATTATATTTCATATTGCAAGATATAGAAATCTGTTTGAACTGGTGTTAGGTTTTTACTCTACAATGACTGTTCAAGGGGGACTTACAGTGTGTACAAAATAATTGAATAAAAGGAAGCTATGCCCAGAACACATACCTCTGATGTAACGTTTATCCGTGGAGTGTGCAGTATAAATGACGGAAGTGTACCAAATAACGTTTAAGACAATCTCGCTCGAGAAGTGTTGCACACGCGCGCGTCAAAACTGCAGATGGATCTGCAGTCCTCACACAGATTGGCTATTTATGCAGTCTATCGATCGAATGACATACTTATACAACTGAACGACGATCTGTTTGCATAACAGAGATGGCTCAGTGGTTCGGCCACGTGATCTCCATGCAGCAGTTAGTCACGTGTACAGCTAGTTCAGGGTCAAATTTTCTACGCCGTGAGTGAACAAGAAGCAAAGAAAGATGACCGATTAACATTCATTTCGCGTAGGTTCCCTTGGATTCGCCGAGACATGACAGACAGGCGTTAATTGCTCATGGACTGGCATAATTAACTTGTATTTATCATATGCTGGTCAGCGGACTATGAAGACAGTTAACTGTTGATCTTGACTCGATGGCATTCGAGAGTGAGGTATGTATCGATCTAGCGTAGATCATCGGACTGAAGTCAAATATTTACGCTGTACACCGCTGAACTGCTTGGTGAATTTAACCACAGTAGACTAAGAGTTTTAAAACAGATGTTTTAACTTTTTCACTTGTAATGTTGAAAAAATTCAGTATTCAGGTGGTTCCTAGAATCTCTGAAAGAAGCGTACTTACCTGAACTTCCGAGGATCGGGGAGGACAGCGGGTTCTTTCTCTGCACTGGTAGTAATCCCAGGAGTATGGCCTTCGGCAGAATTGTGTCCCACTGAAGCGAGGTTATTTATTCCACTGTGTGAATCTGATAAGGGATTAGAGGTCCTTATCTCCAAGGTTTCTTTCACTGAAGGGTATTGAATCTTATGGCCGTTTCCATTTTGTTCTATAGTGACCATGTGCTTCTTCGATTGGAGATGCTCGGCCGCTTCTATGGATCGTAAGTGTTCATCCAGAGTTCGACACAGAAGACCAGTGATAATCCGGTGAGGGCGACTGGGCCACAAATTCACAACTGCAGAACACTGACCTGCCTGTGAGTCAGTGCAAGGGGGCACCGTAGCATTGATTCCATTGGGCGTATAACGTGGAGGCGGTGGGCACAGCATTTGTCCATGGTCCCTAGCATATTCTGTCGCGCGTATCTTCTGTGACGGTGGATTCTTACTCATAATGTTCTGATAGTCAGTTGTGGAATCAATGGATGGTTTTCGAGGAAGGTTTTTCACCGGTACGGACCGCCAAAATTCACTCTGCTCACCTTCATATATCTGCGTGGAATGTGTAAATGAGCCAAATGCAAGTATTTTACGAACAGAAGTTCATACTGGACCTTGGTAGTCAAGCGGAACCTACGGTGAACATTTTCCATCATGAACACGACGGTTTTCGTTCAGTTTAAATGTTGATTTCGAAAAGGCGCTCACATCGTCATCAAAGTTTTAAAGTGTCGCTGTGGGTACACATTTACTCATTCCTTTTCTCTAAAATGTCAGGTGACCATGCAGGTTACATAATGGTTGTTGATCACATGGCTATTGATCCGTTCTCTGAGGTTGCCAATGAACTTCGAAACTTTTGATGACAAAAAGTGTGTATGTTAATTGCCAAGCTCGGAGAACAGATCAACACTCACCTGATCTACAGCCAATAAACTTCCCCGGGCTACTGACAGTTCAACATATTGTCAAGGTATAAATCGCGTTTTTTGAGTGCCGACGAGACAGGGATTCGGTGAGTTGGTTGTCCTGGTTCAGCTCTTTCTCTGGGCACCTAGGATTCTCTTGAGACAAATGGGACCAAAGCGGGATCTCCAACATGTCCTGCATCGACTCTTGAACCTTCGCTTAACGTTGAAATGTCGCCGGCTTGAATATCCGACACAATACGACTGTGAATGGGTAATGTCACCTTTGCGTTAACGAAACTAATGCAGCTTAAATAACGATCTGAAATTCATGACTTCATTGTCCCCTATCGGGGTTTTTGGATCCCCTGTTTTTGTCATTTTCCAGTAAACTGAAGACTGAGGATTCGGATTGGTGGCTTGTAGAAGCAATCGGGTTGGGTGATTAGAACGGTTACGAAAAATGAGTGTAGGGGTATTTCAAACCTTGAACCCGAGTTTCCGACCGATTTGTGACCAACCTCGGACAATCTCGGCTTTGTTTTTTCTGCTGTAATCTTCCTTCGCTAATCTTTTATTCCGAGTGCTCGCGGTGACCAGCAACCTACACTTTAGGCCTTCTGGTCTCCCAAACCGATGACCTAACCAAGCCGATCTAGACAGATGTTATGGAAGAGTCTCTGCCACTCTTCGTCATTGACAAAGATGCTGCTCAGACGAGGTCACCGTCTCGGTCGTTACTAAGACTGCTGACCTCTCTCTACTTGTTTGAGGGGGGATCACTGAGCATTCTAGCCAATAAATCTCCAGTTTCGTTTCATTTATGTCACTGACGGTTCGTTTCAGGATGTGGCTTCTCAAGCCTCAATAACCACTGCTGAATTATGCCTATCCCTGCTGACACATCTATAAATAACATCAATGAACAGATTCCCATCATCATCATCATCATCATCATCATCATCATCATCATCATCATCATCATCGAAAGCAACATCAGTGTTGACAGTGATGCATCACTGCCGTACAACCACAAGGTTCGCACTAGAGTGACGAGAAGAGAAAAAGGGTGAATGGGGAAGGGGCCTAGTGCTGGCCTATATCAAACATTCTGAGGTGCCTACACCTCCAAGTGCTCAATGAGACAATCTGGAAAGAAACTAACACCACGAACGCCGCCGAGATCGACTGGACGCCATTTCTTGTAAGGTCACCAGCCAAGCATGGGCGGGGTCACGGGGACCCATCCTGGAAGGCGTACAACACCCAAACTCTTCCTGATATCTTTCACGTCTTTCTACCAAGTCATGTGGCGTCCACCTTGCGGTTCGCGCCATCCTGGAGGAGGCACGGAGAATAAAACTCGTCTCGGTAAACGGTGTTTCAGCATGCGTACCACATGACAGAGGCATCGTAGTCAGTGGTGATGGATGTTTACCCGGATTGAAGCACCTGCCGCACAACCAAATACTTGTTTTCTAATCACTTTATTGCTCACACGCTGACGTCAACCAGAACCAGCCACGCTTCTGAGGCATCAGTGGTCGAAAACCTGAAGACGCCTCACATCATCTATTCGCAGAGGCCATGTCTCGCACCCGTACAACAACACAGCCCTTACTGTAGCCTGGTACACACGACCCTTAAGATCCAGTGAGATGCCTTTTTGACGCCATAAGTGACGCAAATTAACAAACGTAATTCGAGGCTTTGAGATTCTTGCACTGACTTCATCAGACACACTTCCGAGGTATGTAAAGTTTTCCACAATCTCTAGTGGTTTTCCTTGAATTGTGAGGGATATATTTGTAGATGGCACGTTCTGAAACCTGACTTTCCACTTTGAAGGTGCGAGGCGCATGCCAAACGATGGTATGATGGCGGTCAGTCTTTTCAACAGGACTTGTGCTTCAAAGATGATGGCGATATCATCTGCGTAGTTCGGATCGACAAGATTTTCACCACATCAATAAACTGATTTCCGTCAGCATCACTTTGCTGCTGATTACCAGCTTGGAGAAATGTTAATTTGCAAGCCAGTTTGTGGTGCTAATCGTCCCTCAATGGATCCCCAGTTTATCACATTTCTCAGTTGAATGTTCTCCACAAAGTTCGTTTAATTTGTCACTCAGAACGAAACTCGATATATCACTGTGGTATTACTCATGCGGTCGATCAAAACTCTTGAATAGCCCATTTCTGGCATCATCCATTTCGCTTGCCTGATTCCTGTGTCCCTGAGTCTCGAAACCATGAAAAATTTCGCTTTCAAGTATATACGCTGATAGCTGAGTACTAGTATGTAGCATGTAATATTTTGAGACTTTGCACACATAATACAGGCACTAAAACCTTCCTATGCACTGGCTACTAAAAACGTGCAAGCCAACTGCACATGAGTAGCTCTTCCTATCACGAAACTGCGCAACGGTTTTGGGGAACGCTCGAACCAGTCTGAGAGCAGTTGTGCGCACTAAACCTAGATGGAACTTTCCCAGAGTCCGATCCTTGTCTGGTGCAATTTTTCTATCGGAAGCGCTGTTACAGACCGCTGAATTCCAAGTTCCTAGCATTTAACAGGAATAAATGCACTGATGACGTTCGAAAACAGTGACCTGAACAGGTCAACATTTTGCGTTCACTGCAATTTCCTCAGCACTCGTTGGGAGAATACTTGCCAAGCTCGTGGCCGTGTTTGCGGAATTGTTGCCGGTTATCAGCGGAAGGAGAACTTTGAATGTCTTCTGAAGGCGGACTCAACTTAACCCCAACAGAATCCATTAGTCCATGATATGCTTGGATTCAACTGAGCCTTCTTTTGACATCAGCTTACTTTGCAACCGAGTGTATTTCACCATCTTCATAAAACCCTTTAATGAAGAAACACGACTGGCGGGAACTCAGGGACTGCACCTACTTGGTGAGTCCAATAAGGGTGAAACACTTGATGGACTGTCGAAAAGTTTTCAGCTACCTTATGAATAGTGTTCCTTCAAGAAACTTGTTATGTCTGACTGCGGTTCCCGCTCCAGTGTCTAGTACCGGAAAAAAAGCCGCACAGAAGGAAACGCAACAGCTATATTCCGAACAAGCGAGTGATTGCGTGCAAGTGCAAAAGTTACAACGCCCCCGCGCTTTCTGACATTGATCCAGGCTGCCTTATAGGCGTTTAGTGAGCACCTGTCAACATCAGTCGTGGTTCCATGATATGCTCGAATGCTAATCACATTCGCTCGTGCTTCTGTGGCGTGCCTGAACACTCATCGGTTTTTGCTAAATTGACTGAATGATTGCCTGGATGCTTGCCGGCTTCCTTATTGAGGTTTTTGTGGGGTTTTAGGGTCCCAGTCGGTTCCGGGCGTTCTGGGGTTACTTTCAGGAATCTGACCATCCTGATGAAACTATACTGTGTTATCTTAAACATTCGACTGCTCAAAATACGAGGGAGCCTCTGCACAGCGATTTCAGCTGAAGAGTGTAAGCTGGAAGTCAGTTGAATTCCTAGATACAACCAAATTGGTGTGCAACTAAGGAGCTTTAGCCACCTGACAAAACATGGGTTTCGTAGAACAATATACCTAGAATTTTCGAATAACCTAAAGTGGCTCTCGTGTGAATGCCACAAGTGCAAGGTTTATATGAGATTCACGTTAACACCAAATTACTTTGCCTACTCAACTAGAATGTTAGGTGAACAGAAACTCGGAAACTAAGCCTACCTGATGTGAAAACCCGGCTACTCCGTCCAAATGTAAGGTAAGTAACATTCCTTCGTGCATTAGCTAACATCTCATGGTCTATCTAGTCTCATCGAGAATAATAAGTTACAATTTATAAACTATAAGTTATTTCCGTTTTTTCTACCTCGGCACTGCCGTTACATTCATCAGAATCGGAGGCAAACAGCCAGGTAAACCCAGTGGGAGGATGCCTGGCCAACGACAAATCTGGTAAAATTCAAGTTAGTTGGCAGAAAAAAGGCAGATAGGATAGACGTGCTTACCCCCGTTTTGCCTGCACTGCACCGAACAGTCTGAAAACGATCTGTCATTGGGAGCGGCAATCGTTCAATCAACTGGACAGAATGTGCACCCGACTGATTTGAATCGACAGCTTGTTTTGTCGCTGGCCACACAGAGTTTTCCGAGGCATACCCGTCCTTGTGAGAAGGCAGGTCTTTCGCAGTTTTGCACAAGGGTTGTCGCATATTGTCATGGGCGTTGACCGAGGTCGCTCGAAGACGAGAACCCGGACGAGAAATGGTGGTTGAACCACATGTTTTTTCATCAGGGCGTGTTTCTCGACTTTGTCGATCGGTGACTATTCGGCGAAGGAAATAATCCAGGTCGTCCTGCTTGTCTGTCCGTCGATCTACCGAATTCGGTCGCAGGCGTCGTTTTGGCGGTTCTGGGCTAGTCTGAGGAGCGGTTGAGCACTGCCTGTGCTGCGAAGGCTGATCAACCAATTCGCGCTTCGTGTCATTTACAAGCCTGGTCGACCAAAAATCTGTAATGGACAAGAGAGATTTTGATGAAACTCAACAAGTCAGTCGGGTTCCTGCTGGTTTTTGCATGCGCAGAATAAAAAATCGGCAAAGAGATTTTCTTACTGGTGGCATAGGCGAATAAGTCGGGGAGGAGTGCGTTAACGACCCGCTAGAGTTTTACAGGTATTTGTTCACGACTCAATCTAACTGCGCAAAAGGGGAAATTTGTGTTTTGCGAGATCCAATAAACAACTGGTAGATCTGTTCCGGGACAACTTTTCGCTCCAGACAAAGGATGCTCTTCAATCCAGCTGAAAAAGTCGCCAATTTGACCGAATCTTGAGGTAGATAGAACACCTGTCAACTAGATGCTCAATTCACTGCAGCTCGCTTCTCACGAAAGATGGATTCAGTCGCTTATTCTCTACCCTGTCGATTCAACTGTAACATGCCAACTGAAAGAAGAATGAGGGTGGAAATACAGCCAAGTTCCTGAGGCCTAGACAGGAGAATTTGCGGTGCTGAGTTCCAACCACAGATCCTGAGGTCAGTAATTTCGGGCCTTGACCATTGAGAAACCTGGAACTCCAGTTCAGTCATTTGAGTTTCCGGTAAAAACAAAGTTGGCATTTGCGAGGGATGGTTAGGGAAAAAATACGATTCCCTCTTACGGTCTACGACGGTTATCTTCAACGATATCAT